GAGAAAGAAGGATGTTGCTGATTATAATTCCGATTATAAATCGAAATTAATTTTGAAATCATACAAATTGCAAACATTGCTATTATTTATATTATGATATATTATAATAAAAGTATTATTTCTGTTGAATAAATTATTCCTTTATACTTTTTATTTCTTTTTTCTTGTTACTAATTATCATTTCATTTAGGAAATTAATAATAGATTTCAAAATTGAAATCGGATGCGAAATTATTTTCAAATAAATAGTTTAAATATATGCAGCAAACAAAGATTAGATTTTGCATCAGTTAAACAATTATGAGCTAACTGATACATGATAGTAAAATAAGGTATAAAGAATAATTGCAATAATTCTTACAGAAATAATACTATATCATTAGGCAGTTGTAATCTTTCAAATAATTGGAGCTAATTAAGCATATAGTTCTCAAAAAAAATTAAAATCATTATTCATTTATTGTAATATTTGTACTAATTGATATCACTCATATCTTATTGATATATACGTTAATCTAATTTCCTTTCTTTATCATTAAACTTTCTTACCGTCATTCGAAAATTGATATTTCACAGATATATTAGATTAATGGTATCTCTCAGATATATTAAGCACAAACTGATATTTTTTAAATATGCAAAAGGTTACAAAAATGGGCAATTAATTGTATTCATTTGTTCATTTAAATAATTTAATTTTTCTTTCCATAAACTAACGTACCGTTATCCGAGAAATAGGACGATAATGGTGTGAGAATAAAACGAATGAATAAATGAATGAATTAAATGAATGAATGAATAAATGAATGAATGAACGAACGAATGAATGAATGAATGAATGGATAAATGATGTCAAATACATCTAACCAGCCTTGACATCTTCACTTGATCTTCTACATTTAGATGGTACTCAAATTAGATGTAATTACAGAATTCTTCATCAATATCCTCCTCTTCCATACTTTACCAAATCAAACAACACAACAGTACATGATAATGATGGATAAATGAAAAATAAGAGGAGAGAGGGAGATTTTGTGCAATAAAACTGAACACCATTATATATACCATAATAGTTGTATGATAATATTTTAGAAGGATAAATATGAGGTGATGAAGATTTTTATAGTAAAACTGAATATAACTACATTATACGGTAATACTGTATGATTATATTTTAGAAGAATAAGTAAATGATAGTTAAGATTTTTGCAGTAAAGCTAAATATAACTATATGATAATATTATGCATGATAATATTATAGATAAAATGATATTGCTTATATTTAATGCTTACGTATTATTTGGACTTTCATTTTTGTTTTCTCTACTAAATTTTATTTTTATTAAAATTCAAAATAAATCCCTAAAATAGATAAAACTTTATAGTTTAATTTCAATTATATGATTAAAATTAATGAATGAAAAATGTTGACAGACATGTGACATCGAACAGATGGCAGTAGTAAGAAGAGAAGCGAAAATATCCGTGAATACTGTTTTCCCGAATATTATTTAGCTCCCTTCATCATATTATCCTTATTTATAATTAAATAATCCAATGAGACAAATAAATGACAGCAAGAAGGAGAAGTAATCATTTATCATTTTTAAGCTTATTTTAATCAGCTATTCTTTTCTTACAATTAGCTTCTTTTCTCTTATCAGTTTCTCTTCTCTTATCAACATCACTCCAACACTTAACATATTGCATTTTAAAATGACTGCCAAGAAGAAAGGAAAAATAAATAAAGACAGTTTAAATGATTTGTTGAAATTAATACCGAAAAATTTGGAGATTAAAAGAAAAATTAGATTTGAAATGATTTAATTCAATTTACCCGTACAGAAATAAATTATTTTAAAATTGTTTGATAAAAATGTGAAATATTTATAATGGTACTTTTTTAAAACCTCCAATTTTATTTGCTTATGAAACGACTGAATTTTATAAAATCCAGTAGTTTTGAAAGAAAACAACAAAAAATAGCAAAAGTAAAAAAAAAAATAAAATGAAAAAATTAGATCGAGTTTGAAAATATTCTTTTTTTGACCAAACAAACTGTATTAAAAATGATAAAAAATTCTTTTTTAAATTTAACATTTCAGTTAATAATCAATAAAAATTCATAGAATTGAAGTTGCTTGAGAAATAGACATTTAGCAGTAATAAATATGAAAATTTTAATAAACGTTCATATTTCAATCAAATCATTGAAAAGTTGTCGTCAAAAGAAGATTTAATGAATGCATAATAAATTGCCTATCAACTTGTCAAAAAAAAATTCCTCCCAACTTGGCGATATGAAACGTATTTTATTAAAGATTGCAGTCCTTTTTGATAAAAACTTTATTCAAAGAAAAAACTGTAATTAGTAAGTGAACAATTAACAAAGAATTAAGGAAAACCTATTAACAAAATAATTATTGAGAAGTTTAACATTGAATTTCATACCCCATAAATTGTGAACTAAAAATTCTAGGATATTTGAAATGATTAAAATTTTTTGAAAAAAAAATGAAATTGATTCACTAATTGAAAATCATTGAGGATACATACTTAAAAACAGAAAGTTTTTTGGAATGAGAAGAGAAAACGGAGTAATTTAAAAAATATATTAATACCGTAATATTTTTCGATTAAAGTTTTTTTTTTATCGGATAGAAAATACAACTTCTTAATCCAACGCGCAGCAACACCAAATTTGTACATATCTGTTAAAAATTGAAAAAAAAAGAAACTATTGATGCAAATATAGTTAATACATAGATAAATGAATACTTTAAAGTTAATTACTAGCATTACATTATTATCGCAGATTATACGATAGTAAAAGATATTGATATAAAAGGATATTCGACAGGACAAAAAATACCACTTTATTGTTTTCGGCAAAGCACAAATCGATAGTGAATTTCATTAATTTCCGTTGGTTGTGCTGCTTTCTCATCGTAATCGACCCATTCCTTGATTTAAAAGTATAACAATTAGATTATTACTTCATTAGCTCAAATACATCTGATAATCGATATGATCATAGCAATACAATAACCACTAATCGATAATTCAACGTAGTACATTATTTGATATTCACAATATGGTATAGTGAAATTATCCTATTTAATCTAGATTTATAAAGTCATCAGTGATTATTTTATTTATTACCTGGATAATAAATTAAATAAATCAATGTAAGATAACGTAAACCTAATCATTAAGGCATAAAAAGATAAGTTTAAATTATCATAAGTTAGTTAAGGTTTACTTCAAATAAAGTATGTCTCTGAGAATCGATTTGTATTAGTAAAAAAGATATATAGAGACCTTTTCAGTAAGATCAATATTTTCGAAAACAATTCCGGATTCTGTTCCAATAGCTCGCCATTCCGACTAAAACTATTATTTACATCGAAAAAACATCACCTAAGTAAATATTATATGAAGCTTTTCCGAGGGATCGATTCAAAAAATTTATTGGATCAAACGATATTCTGACTTTAATGATGATCCTTATCTTCTTCATTATTCGACTACCGACAGTAAATTATTTACTTATTTCTTTTATTACCTAATAGTTAAATATGAATTTCGAAATTAATTTAAATTCAAAATTCACATCAAATTAACAGAAATAAAAAAAAAAAAAACAAACTCGTGGATCAAAATCAGTTGGTTCCAAGCCACGACAGTCAAATTTAATCAGTTCATCGTAGTTATTGTTGTTCTTATAGGGTCGGAATGAATCTTTTACAATATCTGTACAAATAGCAAAATATCCAATAATTCATATAGAGAAAACTACAAGCCCAACCTATATAATTAATCATATACATTAACGCTAAAAGAATATTTAGAAAAGTTTAAATGTAGGTTTTAAAAGCAGATACGGACTGAGAGAGATATAGTGTTAGTGTACTTTCAAATATTATAAATTCTAACAAATTATCTCCAAAAATTACTTACCGAGCGTATTCATCCTGTTACATAGTTTACATTTTTCTAATATATTTACAGCTCCTCTGCTTCCAGGTGTATTAAATTTCTCCTGAAAATTTTTTTAATCTAAGTGACAAAAAAGGATATACTAAATCGTACCATTAGGCATCGTTCTCTCGATTTTTTCTCTCTTTCGTATAATCTCTTTTAAACTTTGCATTGATTATTATGAATTAAATCATAATCTTACAGCATCGAATGTCTTACTTTTTCAATAACATACTGCCAGTGTTCTGGCTCTTCACCACAGTTCGTACATTTTAACTGCAATTTATATAGCTATTCTTGATATATTTTGAATTTAGTAAAGTATATGATAATAAGGATTTTTATAATTAACAGATAAATTATATTTTTCTTCTCATTCGGTTAAATTTGTTTTGAGAAAGCCGAAAAAAGACGGAAAATGAATTGAAGTAGAATTTGAAGTTACAAATCTTTCCATATTTATGATGCTAGGATAGATTTCTTTCATTTTGAATAACGATGTATAGACTGTGACAAAAACAAAAAAATTAAACTATATCCTACAGGATTAGCCTACAACTTCGATTTCAATAGTAAGTGAAAAAAAAAAAAAACGCCATGAAACCTTTAAATGCCATCGAAATTTGGTCCAATCACTCATTGGTTCCAATGAAGTTACATTCACCATATTGGCTTTCAATTGTAACGCAATAATAGGCTGTAAAAAATTTTTAACTTTTCAAATAAACCTATCTCAAAAATTATCAAAGAATAAAAAGCTTAAATAAAGTTCAAAGCTTAAAGCTTAAAATAAAAATAGTTCAAATAAATTATAAGCAAACGATTCTTTCAAAATAATCTTTAAAATCATCTTAGACAAAAAAGGCATTTACCATAGTATAAGTAATTTTTCCAGTTGACACGAAAATTCTTCTGAAAAGATATCTTTAAAACACGAAAAACAAATATGAATAAAGAATAAGTAGGTAACAATCGCTAATTAACGACCTATAATAATCCAATTAAATTAAATAATCAACAATAATTTGTATTCCTTTCAAGGAAATAATCAAACCGATTGGACTTCGAACATGTTGCAAAATAATTTGATCATTTTTCATTTTCTTTAAGAGTATCAAATTATTAACATTTTCTTTAAGAGTGTCAAATTATTAACACTGTGAAGCATTAGAAGTAGAGCAAAGAAAATGCAAAAATAATTTATGAAACTGAAATACCAGCGAATAAATATAATAAAAAAGTAACTGAACATCATAAAGTTTAACATTTCAGTAGAAATTTCCTAAATTCAATATAAGATTGATTTGTGCGCATCGCTCCATGATGACGATAAGTAATCTTCTGTAATGGCTTAATCTTTGACCATAGTTGGAAAACTGGAAGCAAAAAGGACATAGTATGAAGGCAATCAGTTTTAAGATGGCAAGACTAAATCTTGCAAAAATAGGTAATGAGTATAACTGAGTACTAACAAATTCCGAAATTTAAAATATGTTTATTAAATAACGACAAGTTTGAAATCCCCATTCATATTTAATTAGTTAAGTAAATTTGAAAAATGTCGGAATTCTTCAATGTAATCAAACAAGAAGCTTTAATATATGATTTTAAAACAATTAAAAATAAGCCAACCCGAGAATAAAATTATTTAACCAAATGATAGAGCAATCTTCGAGGTATATGATGACTACATTGGAAGTAAATAATAAAGTACTTCCATTCCGTTTTCCTAGCTTTTTACAATTTTATAAGCAATTTGAAGAAAATCTTCTGTCTATAATTACCTGTATTGAAAAATGGATCTAATTCATTGCTAAAAATTTTTAATTTTAAAATGTATTCCAAAGTTTTTTACCAATTTATTAATAAGATTAAATTTTTGAAAAAGAAAAATTAGCCCTGAATTTGCTGAATTCATTATCATCCATAATAACATTACATAACAAGTAATCATTGTCTTCTGATGGAATCGGCTGACCAACAAGAAAGGAATATTTGCACAAATAGGAAAATGCTTCTGAATGTGGACGTAATTTCAATCGGCGAATTGTTACACCACTTATTTTCAACACTTTCTGTAATGTTTTGAATTGTAGATTTGAATTTGGGTCCATTTTGTATTAAACTTCTAGCAAACAGTTCTCATTATATTGCAATTAATTGTATTGTAATTAGAGATGAAAGAATTAAAATAAAGAAAGAGAGAGAAAGAGAGAGAGAGAGAGAGAGAGA